TTCTTATTCCCTAAAAACATTTCTTCAATTTCCAGTTTCGAGTTATAAATCGTGTATACCATGTTTACGAGTTGGCGGAAAGCGAAAGGCTCAGTGGCAGACATTCGTTTGAAAGAATTATAATTTCAAATTGCCCCTGAGGTTTTTCTCACGATTTTAAACAACCTAACAACTAATACAAAAGCCGTTTTATTTTCACGACCAACGTCTGAGCAACGTTTTTTCCCCCAAAAAAATTTCTTTTGAGTTACTTTGAGGAAATCTGGAGAACAACGTTCATGGCCTACCCTTCTGAATTTGGTGTTCGTAAACGTTATGGAACGCAGGTGTTTCGACTGAAAAGACAGAAACAAACTAAATCGGGAATCGAACCTAGGCGTTTCTTCTCTCGGAATCTCTGCTCCTTACAAATACAATACCACACTGGTATTTTGAAGAATAAAGATGCATTTTCTAATTACCCGACACGTATACAGTAAGTCTGACACGCATTTAGAAGGTAACCCTTTCCAGAGATGTTAACGATGCGGTAGGTTAGCCTAACTTATGTTTAGTCTCTGAATCCACGATGATTTTTTTCCCTATAATATCGTAATCCAGAGCATATTTTGGTAAAATTTTCGCACAGCCCCATCCTACATTATGCATTCAGTTCTTGGATAGAGAAAACAATGACAAAAACAATACATTTCCATTTGGAAAACAGATTTGCTTTACAATAGTATGGGGCTGTGCGGAAACTTTACCCATATTTCTTCTACCTTCTTGATAAGCTGAGTTACTATTGATGGTATCGACTGTTTGCGAGAGAAGAACATGCCTGGCCTGGTTCGGAAGTAAACAGCTGGTTTTGCCAGGTTTTTTATCACACCATGTGCTCTTGTAGATTCTAATTTTTGATATCCGACTCTAATGGTTTCTATCAAAAAAACATACTATGTTACATCCAAACAACATCTTTAATAACAATATCGTAGCTCCTCCAAAAAGCTATGCCTACCAAACAAGTATTTTTTGAGCCGTCCTCAACACAATCAAGGCGATGAGCACGCTACCTCTCAAGTGTTGTTTCAGAGATCTTCTTTTGTTTGCATTTTCGGGCCTCCTCCACCATTGTAATATCTTCTGACAACAATAAAAATCCCAACGTGCTCACAAAAGCACCGCGAAAAAATTATAAAAATGCCTCATTAAAGGATTCTAAAGAGAAATTAGACGCTATTTCCTTCGTTTTCGTGTATCTCCGTTTTTGTTTTTTTTTCATCCATACATCTGAGGAACACTTAGCTCAACTTCAGTCACCATTTAATTTAAAACTGAAATATAAGCCGCGTGATCCGACAGTTTTTTTCTTTCTCTTAGCCTTACAATGCAAATGTGGAAGACAAGAACACTGAGAAACACTTTGTTATGGTGGTTTGTACTTTTAAAATGAGTTAATTGGCAGTTTGGTTCACGGTAACCTGCAGTGACAAATCCTCCTACAAAGTGGTGTAATTTCTCACCTGATAGTTTTTACCGACCAACATTGTTAAAAAAAAGTACCCGAATTTTGCATTGACTCAACCCGAGCGCTTGAACATTATGAGTTAATTGCCCGTTTGTTTCAAAGTAACCTACGAGGAAAAATTCTTTCTCAAAGCAGTTGTATTCTTAACTGGTGTTTTCCAGCGACCAACATTGTAAGAGTCATAATACCCGATTTTCGCACCGTTGAATGAACCGCCGGTTCTAAGCCCGTGAACTACCGTATTGTGTATGTTCCACAGCTTAGAACAAACGTGACAATACTAGTTGAAACACAGGAGACAAAGAACCGTAGAAATAATGAAAAGCCTAACTAATCATCGAAATGAAATGAAACTGCCCTCACCCAAAAACACACGTTGCCTCGTTTAACAAGTGTTTGCAAGATTTACTTGGTGAAGTTTCTTGGTCTTTACCCGTTATACACCTTTCAAATTTGCAGAGAAGATTCCTACCAAAAATCGAGATTATGAAGTCTTTATCTTCCTTACTTTAAATGTCCTGCAAAATCAGCCATTTTATGCAACCTGATTGCGACCTTTGAAAATTTCCTTTGTGGCGCCATATACAAAATTTGGTTTTTTCAACCGAGTTGATAAATTGGGCACCGTAAAGAATTTCAAAGCGAACTGATAATTCGCCCAGACGAAGGGCTAACGCTAAAGCCAAATTATGTTGTCATGCTCCCTCGCCGACGCAGCACTGCAGCCTTTAGAAATTTACCCCCCATATACGAAATTGTTGATTATCGTAAAGGAA